GCCTTCCTGCCCTCGAGCAGATCAGCACTCCTGTCCAACTTAGCATTGTTGGCAAACTTACTCGATCTCCTCGTCCAGATCATTGATAAAGATACTAAACAGAACCGATCCCAATACTGAACATTGGGGAATTGTGACTGGCCACCAACTGGATTTAACTGCATTCACCACCACTCTTTGGGCCTGGCCATCCAGCCAGTTTGTGGTGTTGTTTTTTTTTTTTTAAATCGCACATTCCTCCTCCTGAATCAAACAAATATGAAGAAAAAGTATCTGGGTTTAAAATAATGTTCTAAGTTGGAGAGATTTCTGTTCTTCTTGGAGACAAACCCTAGTCAAAGAAAAGTAGGCAAACATGTTTGCCTGGAGATGTTCTGCAGTACATTTGTATAAAATATTTCTTAGTAAAAGAAGGAATAATATTGTGGTTACCTTGTAACATTCTCTAGGAAGAAGTGATGGTCCTTGAAAGAATCTTACTACAAACAATAAAGTTTGATCTGCAAGTGGAACATCCATACCAATTTCTTCTCAAGTATGCCAAACAACTCAAAGGTAAAATATTACAGGGTGAGCAAATAATGCCTGTTACTATTTTTCAGAATGTAGTTTGCATTAGCAGTGTGAGAATATTCTATTCCAAACTGTTTGTCCTTCCTAATTTCATTTCTTACAACTTTTCTGATTGTTTTTCAGGAGACAAAAATAAAATTCAGAAGCTGGTTCAAATGGCATGGACATTTGTCAATGACAGGTAAGGTACTTCTAGGAAACATTTTGAAAGTGAAATAGTTACTGTTGCTTACTTTGTTCTGGGATTAGATGTTTCTTTGACAAACATTCGTTATACCTTTTCTGATTGTTACATGTTTTTTTGACCATATTCATCAGTTTTTCGTTCTGTCATTACCATGGTAAGTCCATTGATCAGGGAATCTAAGATGAACATAAAATTAGACCATTAAGACTTTTGCAATTTTGAGGTAGTGATTTAGTGCTGCATTAAAAACAAGTTACTGTTTGAAAGAGCCAAACCAAATTCTAGATCTCCAGGACGGAAGCTGGCTTCTTGCCCCATCTGAGACATGTGCATGTTCTGAGAAAAGAAGTCACTTCCCAGTTCCATCATATTGGTCAATATTGTATTTTTTTAAAGCGATATTTTGGTAATAGTAAACTAGCTATTAAATTCAGTGAGGAATACAGGTTTTTAGCAATAGATTTACAATTTCTTGAATAAGGGATTTGCAATACAAGGATTGCATCAGTTAAGAGGCGTGTGTGCAAAGCACTTTTCACGTGTAGTGTGGCGTTGGAAAAAACCCAAAACGACTCGATACACTTTAGCCTTGTTAAGGAGGATTCTGCAGAGCTGGGCAAGTTAATTCGCCAAGGACGGTTAAGTGTGATTTTTAATTTCAATAGCAAATCCTTAAGAAAATATGTAAGTGGCCTGACTATTCAGAAATGCTAAATACGTTGCTTTCAGTCATGCCTACAGCAGTAGAACACCATTAAAAAAGAGGTGCATTTTTATTCATATGCCTGATTTGAAGTAGCCTGGTGTGGGTACAAATTCTGTAGATATCACCTAAGTTCTCCAGCAAAAGGTTGGTTAGCGTATTTGGATGTCAAGAGATGTTTACTTCAGCTGCTGTCAGTCTTGCAGGTGATGATCATACAGGTGGAACGGAAATACGGCTTGACTGTCACTGTTTAGTTTGTCAGGGAGAAAGCTTCTGTTATGTATCCATCAAACTTTGGACGCTACTGTACTTGGAATTAGGTGGTTAGTTATTCAAGAGATTTAATAAGTCAAGAAATGCACTTCAGGAAAACATTAGTATGAAGTTGAAGTGATTGTTGTAAATAATACTTACCTCTGTTCTTGAGAGACTGTCTTGTGCTTACATATATTAGAAGTGTACTTGTTTTCTACAATCCTGGGAAAATGATTCTGTACTTTCTGCTACAGGCCTTTAGAATAGGGGTATCTGTTCTCACGCAGCTGCAGTACATCCCCCAGGTGTGTTTTAAAAGCTAGTTCTTGTGTCTTTTTTCACGCTTTACTGCTGGCCTGTGCTTTAAGTATCACATTGGCCTTCAGTTATGTGTAACCCACTGGAGAGAAAATGGATTTAAACCACTGTCTAGGCTACTATTTTGATGCATTTAAGGACATAATAACAAAGTCATCAGTGATTTCACAGAAACTTAGCTGGCTAGCTGGATCTAAAATTCTTTTAGCAGATACTGTGTTACAGAATCTGTGGAGGAAAAAGAAAGGGAAAAAAAAGGGAAAAGGAAAAAGAGAAAAACAAATTTTGTAATATATAATTAATATCAGGAAACAGTAACTTTGATTATGGCAGGAACTTACTCAGTTAATATCAATAAAACCAATAATATCAGTTATTTTAGCATTAGTTTTAACAAAGGTTATTCAAGGGATAACCTTTTACAGTTTTTTACGACTCGATCCGAAACTTGCATCGTGCCTGACAAGTTGCTCTACAAGTTCATGTTGGCTGTTCTGTGGGTGTTCTTTTAGTACTTGTTTACATCTTACTGAAAAACATTTGGAAACTCCAAAATCCAGATCTGGGCATCAATTCCCTAACCAGCATAATGCGATGACAGCATACTTGTGTGGCAACGAATGTGAACTCTATGTTTAGCTCACACTACAGGTGAGACTACAGTGGAATGTAGCTGCCCATACTTGGAATATAATGCTGTTTTTTCCCTCGTCTTTCACACCCATAGAGTTAGTTTTTCTATTTTTAAACTCCAAACTTGTTGTTCCTGTGTGGTATATTGCTTTTGTAGGCATATGCCATCTGTATTATCTATGTAAAAATACCTTGTTTCATGATAGCTGTAGTGCAGAAACAATTTAGTTTTGTAAACCCTTTTGTTTAACAAGGCTCTTAATTAAAATTGTCTGAGATGTTAAAGCGTGGTGGGATTTTATACTGTTAATTACAGCTGTCGTACATTAAAGTGTTGTACTTTGACAATCAGAATTATCTTCAGGGTTGTGTTTTGGTTTGGTTTTGTTATATTCCAGTCTCTGCACTACACTGTCGCTGCAGTGGGAACCTGAGATCATAGCTGTTGCAGTTATGTACTTAGCAGGCCGTTTGTGTAAGTTTGAAATACAGGAATGGACGTCAAAACCAATGTACAGACGATGGTGGGAGCAATTTGTCCAAGATGTTCCTGTTGATGTTCTGGAAGGTATGAAAAACATCTGCACAGAGGAATATTCCCTTTAACTGTGTGACCTAGGTCATAAATAAATGCGGATTGCTTTTTATTGAGGTTTTAGTCAAAATAACCATGTGTAGAGTATGTAACTCAGGTCATATGCGCTATGCCTTAACCAGGCTTTAAATTAAACTTATTAGACTGGCTTAGTCTGGAAGCATATTTAGTTGTCATGATTAGTCTTCTGGTCAATATTTGCTTTACAACTTCTTCAGTTTATAATACAGCTAATTATCTGCTAAATTGTCATGGCGTATGTTTTCTGTTTTTCTAATGATTCCCTTCTCCCCATTTTAAATAAGCAGCTCTACGAACACTGGAACTAGTGAAGCCTGGTTTCCAGTGGTTTTCTCACTGATGATTGACCTCTTTAACCAAATTATGGTAGGGTGTTGGGGTTTTTTTATGGTGTACCACGACCAAGGAACAGATTCTGGGGGATGAATTCTGGGGCATGTGTGAATTCTGATAGGGGATGAATTATGGATCTTTTTCATCAATACAGATATGTTAATACTGTTCCCTTTGTGCGTCTATGTTGCTCATATTTACCTGCTGCTTGTCCTCTTGAGGGAGAGAATGCCAGGGAGTTCATAAAATAAAGCAAAATCTTTCTCAACTCCTGTTAAGTAAATTTTGGTTATGTCACCACTAGTTTGTCTTCGTTAAAGTTTTTACTGACTTACCTGGAGCAAATGTCAGGCTAAGCATACTTCTAGTTCCATAAATTGCTTTAGAAACCTTCTTTCGAAATTGATGTTTGTCACAATCTGACATTGGGTTCTAAGGAATTTTTAAGTGAAACAATGTATGTTGCTGTTCAGGTGGTTTAGTCTTTATCGCCCTGTATTGCTTTTAGGTGAATACCCTACAGTTCTGATGATCTCTTAAATGGTTTCTTTCTCTGTTTATATTACGACTTTTTTCAGAGTTCCTTCAGTTTCAGATAGATCCTCTGCTGGATCCTTGTCAAAGAGGGCTGTAGAATGGGAATCTCTCCAGTTTCTGCTACTGCATCAGTGAATGCTCATGGAAACCACTCATTTAGCTTTTCTAGAAAGGTTTTATTTTTCTTGAGTGCTGCTCTTGTCCCTGGTTATCAGTTGGTCGTACATGTTTTCTTACAGACCTTTAGCTCCTAGCATGTTGGAAGAAGAGTTTAGTACTAGTCCTTTACTTAGTTTCCTGAATTTTTTCGACTGACCTCTCTAGACATGTATGTTTTAACATATAATCTTTCACTCACTTTCTTACTCTGTTACTATCCTGTTGATACCCAGTTACCTGGCTGTCCAAGCACACAGTAATGACATATGGTATATTAATACCAAGACACTTTGTTCTTATTCTGGAAGACGTGTACGTACATATAAATGTTGTTCACCATAGGCAGAAGAAACTCAGAAATGCAACAGTCTGCTTTTAAAAAGTCAAATCTGTGGTCATTATAACAGTTAGTAATATTTGCAGTGAATTTTTCTGAAGCTGATGTCCAGCAAAAAGCTTAGTTGATAACTGTGTATTAAAGGTTCAGTTGTACATTATGGGGGTATAATGTTTTGGATTTTTTTTTGTTTTTTCTTTTTTCAGACATCTGTCATCAGATCCTGGATCTGTACTCACAGGGAAAACAGCAAATGCCTCATCATACTCCTCACCAGTTGCAGCAACCACCATCTCTTCAGTCTACACCCCAGGCACCTACGGTGCAGCAATCACAGCAATCCCAGAGTTCAGAGCAGTCACAGACTCAGCAGCAAAAAGAGTCACAACAGTCAGCACAACAGCAGCAGCAGCAGCAGCAGCAAACACAAGCACAGCAATCTAAAAAGCCCTCTCCCCAGTCAAGTCCTCCTAGACAGATTAAAAGACCAGCAGTAAGTTTAACTTTGAACTTCAACTTACGTTTTCTTTGCAAGCTGATCCGATGTCTGATTTAAAGGCTGCGGTATGCAGCAGCCTTGTGTTTGCTCTAAGAATGAGCCTGGTAGTTAATTTTGTTTGGTAGACTTCACTTGGTTATATGGCAAGTACGGTGGTGTAGAACAGCCTTTACGGTTTCGGCATACCACATTCTTAATCCACTTGAGGCAAAACCAGTGAGTATGAGCTATTGAGGTTCTAACTGTTTGGGGTTCTGTGCTATGAAATGTCATTGGTTTTGCTGTTAAGCAGGCTTGATTTAGGGAGGGTCTCTTGTGCCATACCTGAATGATGTAGAGATGTGGACAATGCAGACGAAGACATTGTCTGACTCTCTGGTCTTAGATTACAAATGTAAGAGAATGGTGACTTCTAAAAGTATGTCAAAATTCTTAGAAAAAGTCTTTAAAGATAATCTAATAACAGTAGAAGCCTATAAATGCATCATGCATTAAAGTCTCACTTTGTCTGTATTATCGCCTCATCATTGAGAATAAGAAGTGACATTAGCAGTTGGATAATATCCCAAGAACTCTGAGTGCTTCTCCACAGTCAAGTTCAAATGAAGCTTTCAGACTTTAACCTACACTTTTTGTGTGGGTTGTTTTTTTTCTTTTCACTTGTAAGTTATCAAAAAAAAAAAAAAAGGTTAAAGTGTTACCCAAATCTTTTTGCATGTACTTAGTAAGAGTAAAATCTTTGGAACGTCCATTTAGGAAGTAAATCGTATGCAACTTCTACAGCTTTTGCTCTAACTTGTAATTAATGCGTGCCCACTAGAACACAGACATGAAGGGGGGGGGGGGGGAAACCCAAACAAAACCAAAAACACAGGAAGAAGCAACAAACAATAGAATGAAATAGAATTGGAAGAGTGCAGCATCTTCATGATAGCAGCCTCCCAAAACCGAGAAAAATGTAACTCTGTAAAACCTTGGTCTTGTAATTGCAAGATACAGCCTCTACTACTAGAGGAAAAAATCTGTGCTGAATCTTGCACTGAACTTCAGAGTTGTTCAGGATAGAAAGCTGATAAAATCTGTTAATTAGCTTGAAAATTGGGAGAGCTCTTTATAGGTAGTATGTATTTCTTTTCATACTTTTTCTACCATCAGCACCAATTCTGCTTGGGTTATCAGATCTGTAGGGCAGGGAACTCTTCTTATTTTTCTTCAACAAAAATGCCTGGGACAGTTTGCACATCAGAAACTGTAAATAACAATTTTTCTATGTGTGTCCATCTGATGGTAAGTTGTTATGAACGCTTGTTCAGTCACGTAAAGGCTCTGCCTTTACAGTACTACTGATTTCGCCCCATCCCATGTGTTAATGAACTACCTCATGGAAAAAAAGCAATGCCTTTTGCATGAATCGTTTTTGCTGCTCTTTAACAATGACCTCTGGCCAAGGTATCAGAGTAACTTACCTTTTCTTGAAATTAAGTTTGAGGTCCATCACCTAATAATTAAGGAAGTGACCAGTACACATAAAAAGGTAAATCCTGGTACACTCTGTGTATCCAGAACAAATATAAAGCAAAGTGTGACTCAGTAGGAATGTTTTAGGAGAACAGCAAAAACAGCATGAATTTGAGAAAAGAAAATGTGATGATCTGAAATCATTCTTTCTCCAGAAAGCAGCAGTCTAGGAGAACAAGATGTGTAGTGTTTGAAAGATATACTTGGTGCTTCTAAAATGTTCTTCAGTTAGATATATGTAAATCTTACTTAAAATGTTTGCCACCTCCTATAAATAGGGCTTTGCATTACTTCTACTTTGGTGGGTACAGAACACAAATACACTTTGTTCCTGGAGGCCAGATTTTCCATTTACATGAACTGTTAGAACTCCATTACTTTTTACTGAGCCAAGGTACTTTCAAGCGGCTGAGGCATTGGCCCATGACTTACAGACCCATACCAGATGTCTAAAGCATCTGCACATCCTCTGCATCTCTAGTGGTGAAGAGCACTTGAACGTTCAGTTGACTTCACTAAAAAATATACTGATGAATCAATGGATGTAAATGGTATATTTAGTTTGATTAAACTAGAAATTATGAGTGGGAACAATTCTAATGCATGTAGAAACAGCACTAAAAGAACGGTTCCATTGTCGTATTAATTGAGCTTATTATGAAAGTATAGACTAACAATCAGCATGCTAATAAATAATGTTGACCCTGGGATGTAATGTCTGCAGCAGTACAAACTACCATGCAGTAGAAGGACCAAAAAACCTCATCTCTATTTTAGCAGCTGCCATTATTAGAGAAATAATTTAAATTTTTATAGGCTTTGTTTTTGTTACTTCTTGATTCTTTTTTTTTTTCTTTAGCATAAATACAGTTTAAACTGATGATTGTTTTTCTGTCACATGAGCTGTTTGGCTCCAGTTGCTTGTTCGATTCTAATGGTGTACCCGAAGGAGATTATTTTCTGAGCATTCCGCCATGTTAGCAAATGCACGGTAATTGGAATTGCTTGCTACTTGAAATGATCAACTGACTTCACAGAATGAATGATTTTTCGAAATGTTGCAATAAGTATTGGACACTTGCTTCTATTTGAAAGTGCAGGGAGATCTGATGTTTGCATGCAGTCTTACAAGCAAGGAATTTAGTGCTAGAAAAGACCAACCAAGTAAGATGAAGGCAGCAGATGAGACCGAGAGTCACCAAAAAGTATGTATGTTTGGAATGGGAAGATAAAGATTGTCCTTAAAAAGCAGGAAAGCAGCTGGAAGGTGGCTGGAGATGAATTGAAATTACTATCAAAGGAATATAAGAATGAGGTAGCCTCAAGCCTTGGGTCTTGGACGACAAAAACCTTGAGAATACCCATCAGAATTAAGGAAAATTCATTGTTCAAGTTGGAGTGAAATATATGTCCATTCTTCTTGTGGAAAGTAAAGTGATGGGAACTGAGCAACAGTTCGTGAAGGTAAAGCCACTAGAGGTAAACAGTCCCTTAAAAACACCCTTTAATTCAAAAGACAGAGAAAAGATCTACCGTACCCCTCTGACTTTTGTAATTAATTTTAAATACATTAATAACAAAGCTTATTGTACCTAAAATTTCAGTTGGGTTTTCTGCTTTTCTCGAAGACCATCACCTAGCTATCTCAGTTGGACTAAGTAAGCGGGAAAGATTTTTCTTACTCCCTTGTCTGTGATTCTTTTAAAAAAAAACAGGAAAAATAAAACAAAAAAACCCAAACAGAACAAAACCAAACCCAAGAACTCATGATTGGAAGGGTGATGTGAGGTTTTGTGGGTTTTGCTCAGTGTGCTTTTTTTTTTTTTTTTTTTTTTTTTTTTTTTCTGGCATAACATTTGGCTTTTATACAATGCTTTCCATCTGAAGGCTTCTGAAATGTTTTACACTGAGCAACACTTTCACTGCCCTCCTGTCCTGGTAAATAAAGCATAAAGGCCTGAAGTGATTTTGGCAAAGGTTGAATGACAGGTCAAAGCAGAGTTGAGAACAGAGGCCAAGTCTTTTGCTTTCAGCTCAGTGAGCAGTGTACTGGACCATGACGTATGTGCAGCGGATGATAAATAAATTAAACAAGATGTAATACTCAATGGTGAGAACAGCAGGAAATGCTGTATCTAAAATAGCTGCTATTTTTCCAGTCTTTCCATTCTGCCAGTTAAGCTGGGTTTTTCCGATGTGATTTGACTTCGTTCAGTGTTGGTGTTGCATCTGTCTGAAGAGATTGGACATTATTATCCTCCTAATAAAAGTATAGGAACAAATAAAAGGGAGGGAGGAGGACTCTGGTTCTGAGTTGGAAACTCGTTCTAGTTTAGTCAGATCTGTACAAAAGCTCTTCAGCAGGCTGTAAGTTGTTTCCTATTTTGCTTGTTACCATTTTAAAATGCTTTGCATTTTGCAATGGTCTTATTTCCATCTTTTTTCTTCTTTTAACTAGGCTGTATCTCCAAAAGAAGAAACAAAGACATCAGGTAAATGTTAATATTCTATTCATAGTGCTTTCATTTTATTGTTTTAACCAGACTAAGTCATATGCTGATGAGCGTTTAATTTGTTTGCTTACAGCCTTGGCAGTTCTAAGCTATTTTGATCCTAATAATGCGTCTTTAAATATATACTGTAACTATTTAAAAAATGTTCCTAACTGCAAAACTTGAAAAAATGGAGTATACCCGTGCCCTGAGAGGCCCTATTCAGTAGAAGTCTTGCTAAACTGCTTAACTCTGGATTTATAACTCCATGCATCATTTGGAGTAGTTCTTCAGCAAGCTGTGGGACCTTGAAGTGACGGAGGGTACCGTGTCATTAATTAGCTGCACTAATAATAAGTCTGTTGGTAATCGGGGACATCTGTAATCCATTGTTGGCATGGCTGCCAGTAAAAGGCATTTTGTATCAATCTATAGCCTAGCTCAAGAAATGCTTCACTGCCGTGATCACATCTAGGTTTTTGTTTGTGGCTTTTTTCTTCATCTTGCTGTTTTGGAGCAATGCATTTCAGGATAGCTAGGATGTGATTCCCTAACCTTTCCTAAGTAAGTCTCACTTCTCCCTCTCTGGCTCTGCAGAGAGATTCCAGAGAGCTGTCTCTTCTCTCTCCTCTCTCCTGTGCAATTTGCCGTTGTGTTTGCTTTCTACAGACATGTTCCCCTAGCAGAGCATAGTTCAACTCCTTGTGAGATTTAACTATTTACAAATGACAGTTTTGTGCTAGAAAATGTACACAGGCTCATCTTCGCTTACATACTGTTACTGGGACAATTTGTCTAGATATAAAATACATAGCTTGAACTTGTAGGCATGTGTTCTTTTGGAAGACTTCTATGTGATAACTTGATGCCACTTTATTTATACAAAGTCTTGGTTTTTGTTTTCTGTATTAAACTTACCTAATATATAGGATTTCCATTGTAATTTTGCATTGTGTAATATATGATAATTATTAGCATGAGCCAGAGTTGGAATTTGGAAAATATTGCAGAGTAATAGCCATTTAAGAGCATCTAAATGTTTTTTAGAACCACCACCACCTTCTAAAATTCCTAAAATTGAAACTTCACATCCACCAATACCTCCTGCACATCCGCCTCCAGGTAAGCTTTTATCGTCTTAAACACGTTTACTCTTGCTGTTAATTGCCTTCCTTTTCATTCAGATGGTGGTAACCGTGTGGGGGCAGGGATTGTTCCCTTGGTTAATCAGCTTGGCAAGTAAAAGCATAGGTAGATAAGCTCTAGAGGGAATTTCACCTTGGTAGCACAGGCTTTTCCAGACAGACGCAAAAGAAGTTATGACGGAAACAAGGTGGACGAACACCAAACAAAACTGTGACTGTTACAGGCCTAGAAGACTAAATCTAATTGTCACTAACAGGCAAAAAGAGACTTCTGTTCTGAAAGGGATGGCAGATGCCGTATATTACGTTACTAGCGTAGCTTCCGTCTGTCCTGTAACACTGAGGACTTCTACGTCTTTAGTGTAGAAATTCTGCAGGTGTGTGACTCCTGAACAGTAAGGGGGATGCTTTCTCTGCTGTGTCCCAAAAGAGGACTTTCATCTGCCAGAGAACGTCTAGCACTGCACGCATGCCCTATGTTTGCAAAATAAACTGTACTGTTGTAAAAATGTGCTTCCAGCGCCTTGATGCATTAGCTGTCCTTCCAGTGACCCTTAAATGTGACATAAATATTTTATAGAGCAAGGTCCATAATGTAGCTGTAAGATGACAGCTTCTAACAGGGAATTACAAGAGAGGAAAACCGTGCTCTGAAATACAGTAGAGCCATTTTTTCCCCGTTTGTTAAAATCTAATTAAGAATGAAGGCGTTCTTCTAAATACCACGTTCATTATTCCTTCAGTTGTAAATCTCGCGTGCACATCTTGCATCCACAGTGATTCTGAAAATGAGCAAATGGGAAAATTATTGCCTGCTATAATTTAGGAGCTAGAAGTCATTGAACTCATAGGTACCACAGCCAGCATACCCACTTGCATGATCTAATTACGTACCTGTCCTAGGCGAAAATTTTGCTGTTAAAATTATGACTGCTTAGATAAGGTAAATCCTATTTAGGCAGGTAAGGAGTTTGTTTCTCTTGTTATCTAAATTTTTCCTCTTAGAATTTGTTTATACAAGCAAATCATTGTATAAGCACTGAAACATTTTAAGAACAGTCTTTAGAGGACAACTCTTGTCTTTGGGGCTCTGAGGAAAAGTCAGGTGGAAACTAAGAATGTTTATTAACCAAATGAATAGAAGTACTAGAAGGTGGATTTATCTCAAATTCCATTTAGCATTGTCAGTTCAGTTGTTGCGCGTCACTGGAAATGACTGCCCTATATCTGCTTCTAAGTAACTTTTCTTACTGAACAATGTTTTAGATGTTTATATATACAAGCAAGATGGATGTCAAGATGCCCCAACCTTTTTTTGTTGGGCATTTTAATACTGGCTGTATGACCATACAGAGATGTTGCCATTAGGTCAGTCTTCTTATTGTGGTATTCCTTAGTTCATCATGTCTGCATTAACAGGAAAAAAAAAATGAATGAGATCATAACTTAAAGAGAAAACAGTTTAAAGCATGTTTTTTGCAGAAATGGCCAAGTATAATACTGTAAAATTCTGATCTTTTTACAAACTCCCTTGGACTGTCAGGTACCGAGTTCCCTGAAACTAATCAGGGGAACAAAGCTGATCAGATGTCATGCCCCAAGCGACCTATTGTGCTTTCTTTCTTACCCTCTGGTTTTCTGTTCTCTTTCATTTGGTAAACAGGTTTAGAACTGAGTATAATAATACTTCCCAACATGGGAGGTGAGTGAAGCCCAGAGGGTAATCCCAGGCCACCTCCTGGAGTATAAAAGAGGTAGAAGGGAGGCCTGGACCAAAGAAGATTGAAACACTGATCAAAAGATTTTTGGTATCTTGTGCTGCCTGACTTTTTAAATCTGCTAGCTGTGATTCTGTAGATCCCGTCTGCTAATTTCTGCTGCTTGTGGAACAATATTTAAATTACAAGAAAATAGTAATAAGAATGGAAGATGCGTTCAAGTCTTAGAATGGGAAAAGCTGAACTTGAAGCTTAGTTATGCCACTTAGTTATTTTCTAGTGATATAAGAAGGTCTGATGGGATAGCGTATGTCAGAGACTTAGAGAATTGAGTCCTGTTTTGATATGTTAACTGGAAGAAAAATATACAGAAGCTGTTACTGCTGCTGTCCTTCAAAAAAATAAATGAAATTTTCTTTTCCAGAGCGCAAGCCTCCTCTGACAACCACAGTTTCAATGGGAGAAGCAGAGCAATCTGCTACTGTGGACTCAGTAGATATGCCGAAGGTCCAGATTCCTCCCCCTGCTCATCCTGCCCCCGTGCATCAACCTCCACCTCTGCCACATCGGCCCCCGCCCCCGCCCCCCACCAGTTATATTACAGGGATGTCTACTACAAATTCCTATATGTCAGGGGAGGGTTATCAAAGTCTTCAGTCAATGATGAAAACGGAAGGACCAACTTATGGAGCTTTACCACCGGCCTATGGACCACCAACTCATCTACCATATCATCCCCATGTCTATCCTCCCAACCCTCCACCACCAGTTCCACCTCCACCCCCTACTTCCTTCCCCCCACCCAATATTCCACCTCCTACTCCTGGATATCCTCCTCCACCTACATACAACCCTAACTTCCCACCTCCAAGACTGCCTCCAACTCATGCAGTACCACCTCATCCACCTCCAGGGCTGGGAATGCCACCGGCTAGTTACCCCCCGCCTACTGTTCCCCCAGGTGGGCAGCCACCTGTACCACCTCCAATTCCACCACCTGGTATGCCACCTGTAGCAGGACTTGGACGTGCTACGTGGATGAGATAGCATGAGGTGATTTGCACAACATCCCCTTGTGTTGACTAGGCAGGAGTAGCTACCCAAAACCTACTTTGTAAAGATGATGAGGAGGGTAATTTGTATAATTTAGATGAAGAAATGAGGCGGTGAAATGAAAACTTAGCTGATCTGTTTGCAGTATTGTTTATGGTGAGTTATATAGGCTTCTAGATTTTAATCAGCTTTGCAGTATCTATTCTAACTTTATACATTTGACTTAAATTTAAATTGTCTTGAGTTATTCCAGCACTGGATTACTTTGTACTAGCAAAACCAGCCATATTGGCTCAATTATATCAGTAAGAAGAAAACTTCCTTCTAGAAATCGGTGCCTATTTTTGAGTATCAAAATAGCCAGATACCATGAAATTTGCTCTGTAGTAAGAAACTTCATTTTTAGTGATAATTAAAACAACACGATGTCAAGCATAAAAGCTACTTTATTTAAGAGAGATTCTGAATGCTAGGTGACTGGAGTCATTTTGAGGTGTTTGCCTTGCTGGTATTTTTGTTTTGGAATGTACTGGTATCTTAAAGTATTGTATGTTTACACCTATTTGCAAATTCCTGTACATAATATATATATTTTCTAAGTGTGAAAGTCTGAATGTAACAACCTACTGTGATGTACATCCTGATTATAAATGGGACTACTTTGTTCACATCTGCCCAAATAAAATTGCTTCTGAATTTAGTGGATTTCGAGGTTTTTCATATTAGTTCAGAATTCGTAACCATGGTACTTACTGCAAGATATTTCAGCAGTGGTCTCCCAAATCTCATTCATCAGTTTATTTAAAAAGAATGTATTTTATTTTATTCAACTAGAAGTATACACTATCACAATCAATCTCTTACTTCATTTTTACTAAAATATTTCAAATGAATGTTTTACACACATTATCAAAAAAATCTGTACTATTACTTTCCCTCCCCAAAAACGCCAGAGTGGTTCAATAATAGGTAAAAACGCGTGCTAAGGTCTAAAGAATTTTGCTATGTACACAACAGCAGGTGCTAACTTTTCCAGTTCTTTGTAAATCATATACAGAAAATATAGCAGGGCTGTAAGATCACAGGTTTAACAGAAATCAAACTTTAAACTGATTTCTAAAGCAGCACAAATAGACTTTCCCCACATTATGAAAAATATACAATTTTATCACTTTACAGTCATGCACTTTGAAAAAGATCAGTAGTACTCTTCCCCCACAGTTTCTAAAAAGATAAAAGGTCACTTTAACACTGATTTCTTTTAGTATCTAATATTTGGATAAAAATGTGCCATTCTCAAACAAGGTTGTGCTCAGCAGTCTTATCAAGGTGCAAAGAGCCAACTGAAGCTGGTTACACCGCAGCATTTCAGACACAGTTACGGAAATGCCGCTTACTTCAGTCACTCCAACGCAAGTCAAGGATGTGATTTTACTTTCCTTAAGCAAGCAAAGTCCGTTTGTAAACAGTGGATGCTTTCTTTGCCAGAGGATTGCAGAACCCAGGGCTTCAATCTTGAGGAAATTAACTTGGACTGCTGCCCCAAATGCATCAATTTAACGGCTGCTATTTCAAGGGATGATCCCCTCCAACTTCATGTACAAAGCTCCTCAGGTAGTTTTCACTGAAGACTTAGCGCATAGGTAAGTGAATTTAAATATGCATATAAAACATCTTTGTAGACAACTGAAAATTCAGCACTCAAGTCATCCTGTAAAGTCATTGAGCGTCATTTTACCCCAGGAAGACACTTCATAGCTCAAATGGAGCTAAGTATGAAGAGTAGCAAGCCTAAAACCCCCAAACAATAACACCCCAATGTACAGCACTGTCACGCTCTTCGGCAAAATCAACGATGCACATTTTACACTGAAGATTTATGCTGCCAAGTAGAATCTTAGAAAGAACCTGATAATACACCCTAAGAGTATAAAGATTGTTCAGCTGAACTACTGGCTACCCTGTAAACTGGCTCTTCAGGATTTGCAGCGCTAATGGACCTCGATTGCACCACTATTTCCCTTGTAGGTGAGATCTACAGGAGGAACAAACCAAGCTTTGCTTGAAGACATTGAATAGATTTTGAGAGAGATTAGATAGCTGGGAATATTTGAACAGGAATTACATAGCTGGTAAGACTAGTAATCTGATGAGTATAGCTCTTGCCTTCTCGAGAGGACTCACTAGTCTAATATACTCCTAAAACAGCAAGCATGTCATCAACCCAATTAACTCTCTACAACTGCTGACAACATTTGCATTGCTTTAGTTAAAATTCACTGATGTAAATTAACCTTGTTCCCAATATGCTTAAATTCTTTGCTTAATCCAGCGATTAGATGCCACCAAAATTAAAATGGACTTTCAAGCAGATAGATTAAAGTAACCCTCTGTTTGACATTAGCTGCTAAGGGAGAATGATGCCTCTGCTTCACATCGCCTCTTCTGGTCCGAAAATCTCAAGGTGTAAATTGTACAGAAGGGAGACAAGTAATCACTAGTGATTAGAAACTGGAGGTCAAAACAAAAAGCAAAGGGGAGGAAATCCAGAATCCTCTAAAGAGGCCATATTTTAAAGGACACAGACTAGAATGGATTTTTCCAGACACACTGGATGTAAGTATTAAGAGTTTGCTAGCTCAGCGTTTGCTGACTGAGCAGTACTAAGAAATAAACTGGAGTGTGAGAGTATGCTTGTGTGTTTTGGGGGTGGTTCTTGATTGTTTTTTTCAAACAACCTACTCATCTTGACTGTTACATTTTTATTTCTGCAATGAATAATGAAGTGGTGCTTACTTGTACTGGTTACTATATATTTTGGTTGTATTCCTTCTCTGTTTTTTTACTGGTTACAGATCCTGGCTCTGACACTCCAAATTCTTTACCCAGGCATCTGGATTATTGTATTCCATGGGACCAACTGCCTTTCATAATTTGCAGCATGGGCTCCTTGGTATTGTATTGGTGTTCCCTGTGTATACAATGCCACAAGTCAAGAACTCAATTGGTAGAACAAATTAAGTTAAGAGGAAGAACCTGTCCAGCTAATTCTGCTGTCTGTAGCTGTGACTGATTCTTATGGGGAATAAAAAGAAAGTGATGGTGTTTGAGGTCATTAAATCTTTGAACTAATCACTAAAATCGATACAACTTTTGAAGAGGAGGCTTTGATCTTTTCACATGTCTGTCTTCAAAATTATTTTACACCAATTGTTTTAATAACCAAGCCCCGCTTCCTTGGACTATTGGGAAAGAACATCTAATAAAATACAGGGACAGCTGCCATGACAACTTGGAAAAGGGGGTCAAATTCTTACAACTATGCAAGCAGCTACTCCACAAAAGCAAAATGTAAGTCCCATTGTTTTATATACAACCATTAGAAGAAGGAAAAACCCACTTGTTTTGGTTCATTAACAAAAATAAAGCTTCAATGGCAGGAAGTAGTCTCACCCGGCAGCCTGTGTTTATGGAGTTTTTATTCAGCTCGGCAAGGTTGTCGTTTGGTTACCTTACACAGGAACCAGTATAGGTGAGGGGAAAAAATACCCAAATCTTCCTCATGTGAAAGATGAGCTGCTCTCGAAGATCCTGTGAAAGCCATAAGCACTGTTAGGATGGCAGTTTCTGCTGAATTATTTTGTAGTGAAAGCTTTACAGGAAAAGTGTTGCCATATCTGTAGGGAATACTGGTGGGTGGCTAAGTGACTTCAGTTCATTCACATTACGCCTGCAGAAATCTTGTGTCATTTGTTCACGAAAAATAGTTCATTAACAGCTGATACGGAGTCTCAAGCCCTTCTGTACGCTTGTGTGATGAGTACCACCATACACCGTACGGAGTGGTACCCCTGACTTGAGCTTGCCACTCAATATTGTCCACAGTGCCTTGTGAAAATGGTTGCATGCCAGTCTTCAAGATAAGGACCTCGTTAGCAGCTCAGGAGCTTGGCAGGCAGTAAGCCAACAAATTCAAATTGCTCCTTCCTTGGAAGGTGCTGCCTGGAGCCACTAACCCAGCTATGAATCACTGACAAGCGGGTGGACCGGAGCGATACAAACCGTGACTTCTCCGCAGGTGAGGGGTTCTTCTTGTTCCTCTCAGAAATTCTCTTGAGTTAGTTAGTTAATTCTACAAACAGACTATTACAACAAAGCAGGTTTGAACTACAATACAAATGATGCAAGTCTGGCATATTGGATGGTTACCCATTGAACAGTAGTTCCAGAGCACCACAGCCTGGAAATCAGGCCTTTAGCTGCCATATTTACACTATTGTTACAAAAAAAAAAAGCCAAAGAAAAAAAAAAGAATAAAAGAAACCCTGAAAAAAACTCAACCCCAACTCCCAAAGAATAGGCAGCCAGAAATGCTGAGCTCTGCCTCCTTAGTCTTCACAGAATCAATCACTTCCAGCCTCCGGAATGGTGCTCCTACAAGGGACCCTTGAACTGGTTTCCCGAAAGATGTTGCCTGATGGAGGGTTTGGAGCTCGCAGCATCACCCAGCTTTCGCCAGACAACCTGTAAGAAAAAAGAAAGGGGTGGGGGAGAGAAAGACAGGAATTAAAAATCCTCACAGCCTCTGATGAGTTGCAGTATTTTTATAATTGTAGTCTGAAAGTAAAAAAAAAAAAAAAAAAAAAAAGCTGTTTCCCGGAGTTGGGCTGTAAGTCTCAGCAGAGCCACAGGATGGCATCCGTGCACCAGTTTCCAGGGAAAAAAAACATTGATGCATTTTTCTAATTAGTCTCTCTTGAAATTAGAACCATTTTTGCCTGGGGTAATAGTATAAAACAAATACACTAGGTTCAGAAGTTAAGTTCAACGGTAGGTCAGCTGTGCCATGCTTACAGAAATTATGTTACCATGAACAGAAAAGATAATGAAAAAGATAATGATTAC